CAGTATCATCAGCTGACAGATAATTATCTTTCACATCAATACCTCCTCCTAGAAAATTCCCAGAGAACAGCTGTGATATGGTTGGATGGCTGTGTAATTATTTTCCATGTTCAAAAGTAAGTGCAAAGCAATTGTAATAACTGATTGCTTATTTACCATTAGTTGAGAAGCCTTTTAAAAATGTGACCTATTAAATATACTAATAATTAAGTATAATGTTTTCTCAAATTTTTTTAAAACGCAAAATAATTTAGAAACCATGTGTTTCTCTTATCTAAATGAAAGCTGAAAATGCACGTAGATCTAATGACCAGCAATTCTACTTTTAGGAACACCTAACAGGAGTGCATACGTGTGTTCATTAAAAGCCTATCCAGGAACGTTCAGAGTAGCCACTCTTCGTAACAGCGCTCTTCATACTTTGGAAGCATTGTAAATGTCCATCAGTAGAAGGGGTAGATGGTGGTGTTTTTCATTCAGGGGAGTACCCTGCAGTAACAAGGATGAATGACCTGCACACCACAATGTAGATGACTCACACTGCCTGCTGCACAAATGCAGCTAAACACAGAGGAATCAACAGTGTATGACTCCACTTCTGCAGCACTCAAAAAACCAGAATAGACGAATGTAGTGTTGTAGGATCAAGGTTACTCGTGTGAGATGGGAGATGCGATTGTCCTGGAAGAGAGCTTGCGTGAGAGGGCTTCTGTCTCTTCCTCTGGGTGCCGGTTACATGGGTGTGTTCACTTTATGAAAATTAATCAAACTGTAAATGTGTGATTTGTACACTCCTCTGAACATATGTTCTACTTTAGTGTTATGTAAAAAAGTTAACTCTGACAGCTTTAAAACTCATACGTTGTTGTGATCGTTTCTGACAGCAGGTTGTCATGATGTGTATTCTTGAATACCTTCACTCTTGCTACTTCCTGTCATTATACCTACAGGTCATCCATTCCCAGTTAAAACTAATTAAATTATTTTGGAAATTCCAAGGGACAGTGGTGTACCAAAGGTGAGAGGGTAGGACAGGTCTGCCCCAGGTGCAGGCATTAAGGAGGTTCATTGTAGAGAAGCTTAGATGGAAAAGCCATCTAAAAATAGTTGTCATTTTTATTATCACCTTGTGCCCACAGTTCTAAACAATGCTATTGGTAAAACATTCCTCAAAAAGAAAAAAGTCCTTTATTGGCCTAAGACTTAAACAATTGGTGAAATTAGTGTTGGTTTTTTATTTCATATATACATATACACGTGTGTACTTCAAAGTAGCACACTTACATTACTTGTCCATTACTTATTCTTTAATAACACATGTTATTGAAGACTCAGCCTTGTGCTGATTTCTAGTGTAAGTTCTGACAGTTTCGAATCATTGGAGCTGCAGTCCCCACAGTGCTGCTGCCTCTAGGGTTAAACAGCAGATTTGGAAATGAGCGCAGTGATTATGAAGGAGGCAAAGCAGAACTACAGTTACTTCAATTCTGTTGTGCTTTCTTCAAAACTTTTGGAGGTTTTGTATTTAGAATTTAGAACAGTGAAACAGAGTGCTGATTATTACTGAAAGTAATTTTGTCAAATAAAGGGAAGGGGGCGGTCTTAAAAATGATCCATTCTAGATGTCAGTCTACTAGGTACATTGCTGCTACAGGACAGCCCTTTTCACCAGCATTACGTAAGCATGGAAACTCGTAGACACGGAGGCCTGAAAGCTGTGAAAATTTTCAGCAATTTGCTAACATCGTATTATGGTGAATGCCATTGTAAACTTGGGTAACATTTAAAAATGGTATGTATAGATAGATTATTTTGTTTATTTATTTCTGTGCTTGCTTTAGATTTTAAGAGTCCTAGTTTGTTTACATTGCAAATCTTTTGCTTGTCAAAAAGAATGCTACTGAAGGGAATAAAATGAAAAATAGACTGTTAAAAAAAAAGGAAGGAAACATTGTGCCTAGGGAGTTGAAGTGCAGTTCTTCAGAAACCTCCTTCTGGTTAAATCATCGATGTAGGTTGACACTGATAGTGTTTAAAAAATAACCTAACTCCACACACTCTCCCGTTGACTCCCCACCCTTTGCCTGTTTCCCCGTGCTCCTTCCCACATTCCACTCCTAACACCACAGACAGCAGACTGCTCTGGATTGTTCGTCAGTCCTTCACAATAGCTTGATTACATCAAAACAAGTTTAAGTTGCAATATTAGTTAGCAATGTATTTATAGCCCATTAATTCTCTTTTTCAAAGCTTGGGAATTTATTTAAATTTGAAGGAAAAGGAAAGTAAAAGTAATTTCTAGTGCAGCTTCTTGCTCCCCATAACTCATTATTGCATTGTTACTGGGAAACATCCTAAATATTCATCAGCAGAGGACATGTTAAATTATGGTGCATCTGTGTAATGGAATAGTATGCAGCCACTAAAAATGTGGCTGTCATGTTTTTTAAAGGGCTGTTCTTTTAAAAACTGGTATTCTATATCAATACTATGTGAGTTCTAAGAAACAGTTATATATATGTACACACACACACACACACATATTTTAAAGCCAAGTTTAGAATGCTAGTTTGTGCAGAAAAGAGGGACTATATGCTTGAATATCTCAGTGCTAAATATCACTAAAAGGACACTTCAGAAACATAACACTGGTCACCTGGGGAGGTTGGCAAGTTCAGGTTCGAAATAAAATGTACACCCTGGTTACAGTTTGATTTTTTTTCTTTACTTATCTCATGCATGTTTTTACTTAAAAAAAAAAAAGCTAAACCTTGTTGGCACAAACTACTTCATAACAGTAAGAGCATCAATCCCTCGGAGAGCACCACTGGTCAGCCTACGCTTTCAAAACACCTGAGCTGCTTCTCAGAGCCGTGTGTTCTCAGCTGGTAGCGGAACCAGGCAGCAGCCGTTCTCGAAGGCATGCTGTTTGTTCACGACAGGTGGCAAGTGCCCTAGAAGGCTGGATGGTAACCCAGTGTCAGAGCTCCTGTATGCCTAGGAGACATGTTGGGACCTTTCTCCCCTGGAGGCTATTGCCCACGTAGACCCTCTTCATCCTTGGGTAGCTCAGATCTCAGGGTGAGACCTTCATCGATTCCCACTAAGCTGCTCTTTCATGGAGCCAAATGCCCAACCTTTGAATGTGAGAAAAAAGCACACCTGGGTATTTTTTTTTAATTATTTGCAGTTTATGCCCCATATAACTCCAAAAAGCAAAATTTGAGGAAGTGTTACTAAGTTTATGGATAATATAAAACAGGACAAGTACAAGTAAAAGCAGATTGGAATCCAGGAACAGGAGCTGGACACGGGTTGTTAGTGGCTGTTAGAAGTACCTAGGATAAGTTAATTACTGTAGTCAAATAATTGATTTTGCTTTGAATTCCTTGGCACATAAGAAAAGGGAATATAAAGTATATGGTCCTTTTTATTTGAAGCCAGAAAATCTGAAGTTTTGCCTAAGGAAATGAACATTTTCTTGATGCTCAATTCAAGAAGGAAATTCAAGTGCAGATCCTTATTAAAATATATATATAGGATGACTCAGGTTTTCATGGTAGTTGGTGCCTGTCAGGGTATTAAAATGAGCTAGTCCCATGTGCCAAACCTCACTAAGCATAATCTCATTGTGCATCAGATCCACCTCTCTCTCTGCTGCCACCCTAGCCGTCCAGGTATCATCTCATAAGGGTTGCTTTCAGGCCTCCTGACTCACCACTACATTCCCCCACTCTCTTCTAGAGTCTCCAAGCTGTGGTTGGGGTGCCTTTGGAGATTGCAGGTCTGATGCTAAACTGTCACTGTCCCTAGCCTATGTACTTAAAACTCCTGTGTCTCTTAGTTTTAGGATGTAAGACTCAAACCCTCCTACCTCCCCAGCCACCCTTTCTCCCTTGGTCTCTGTGTCCCAGACTTTTTTAGTCCTTGTTTCTGGCCGTGTGCACTCTGGACATACCCTCTCTTCCAGCACACTCCACCTGCTTGAGCCAGTTTTTAGTACCTTTGACATGGTAGTAATTTTCTATTTAAATTAGGGCTGTTTTCTGTACGTATTTCCCATATTGAGTTGCAGTCCTGTGTAGTCTCTAGCGTGAGCCTCACATAGTAGGTAATCATAAAGATATGGTAAATGAGCGGGAATTTTTATTACTTATTTAGCATCTTTATAAGCCAGTCTTTAGTAGGAACCATTTCCCCTCTGGATGATGTAATTTGTAATGAAGTTTCTGTTTTTGCATATATAACAAATGGCCAGTCTGCCACAGATTCTCTTGTTCTTTAAAATATATCTATAGATTAGTGGATGTGAATTCAGTTCACATACTGCTTTCTGCACGTATTCCAAAGACCTCATGAATCTTTTACTACAAGGCTATACAGTATTGTTCTATACTGAATGCAAGAAATTAAAATGAAATAGATACATGTAGCATGTCATTATTTCAAGGGAAGGCTGCCCAAATTAGCACTCTGTTCAAAAAAATAACCAAAATTAAAAAAAAGAACATAAATACAAAACAGAAACAGACTCATAGACATAGAATATAAACTTGTGGTTGCCAAGGGGGAGGGGGCGTGGAAAGGGATAGACTGGGAGTTCAAAATTTGTAGATACTGACAGGCATATGTAGAATAGATAAAATTATACTGTATAGCACAGGGAAATATATACAAGATCTTGTGGTAGCTCACAGTGAAAAAAATGTGACAATGAATATATGTATGTTCATGTATAACTGAAAAATTGTGCTCTACACTGGAATTTGACAGAACATTGTAAAACGACTATAACTCAGTAAAAAACTGTTAAAAAATTTTTTTTAAAAATAACCGATGATCCATAGAACTTGTTTCTAGCCAAGCATCACCTCACCTCCTCTTGGAGCCACCCCTGCCCTCCAGCCCGAAGGATGGAGGTCTTATGCTGACGGTTACTGCTTGTGGCCGTGACTCCTGTGATGAGAGAGTAACCTCCACCTCCATTTCATTTCCAACAGGCCGATTTAAACTGCAATATTCAAGATGATGCCGGGGCTTTTTATGGCGTAACCAGTCAGTATGAGAGTTCGGAAAATATGACAGTCACCTGTTCCACCAAAGTTTGCTCCTTTGGGAAGCAAGTAGTAGAAAAAGTAGAGGTAAGTTGGCCTCTGTATACAGGAACCTTCATTCAGGGCAACCTGTCACCTTTAAGCCTAAACCCGGGCAGAGAGTTTTACTTTTTTGAGGTCTTCTTCTCCCTCTGCCACCCTTTCTCCCATTTCCCCTACCCCCATTATTTCTAAAAAGGCAAAATATTTGAAAGAAGGCCAGGAGAAATCCCAGGCCAGCCCTCCATGGCTGTGAAATCAGCCCGGCCCCACCAGTGTGTCAGTCCTGCAGGAGGCCTCATGGGGGCCCCGTGTGGGGGCTCTCAGAGGTGGCCCCTGCCTCCCATCAGATGATGCCTTTCCCACCCCAGATCCAAAGGCACCTCCCAGCACCTTGATAACAAGCAAGGTGGCCTCCACTTATAGGCACTTGCCTTCCAAAACCCGGACTCCTTTCGTTTGGTATTGTTGCTTTTGCCATTTCCACTCCCTTCCTCTTAACTGTTTTAAATATGTTTCTGTACATACTGGGACCAAGCACCTGGTTATGGTTTTTATAGTTCATGCCTCCCTCCCTTTCACAATGTGGGTGTTCGTTTTACCAGGGTGGGCTGCTTTGTGTGAATAATGCTTGCAGGTGGTGTTTCATCGAGTCATATTTTCCAGTGTCTCCTACCATCCAGCATATCCACGTTCAGTGAGCAGTTATTATTCAGATGTCCAGCACCTCTTAGGCTAAGAGACCAACCTGACCGTGACAAAATCTCTGAGGGAAAGGATGCATTGGGTCGGGAGAGGGAGCGAGGGGATGTTATTTTTTAAGACTTTGGGCTGAATGAGGAGGGTTTGAGATGCCGCAGGCCCTCAGCTTCCTGAGCACAGGGTGGGCATCCTGAGAACAGTGCTAAGGAGGGTTACACTGGCAGAAGAGGATGTAAATGAGTTGACTAGATGGTCAGGGTGAGCTTACGGGTTATGAGCTTTACTAAAATGCTGGCAGTGGGAATCCAGGATGAGATTTTGAATGGAACTTTGAAACTGACTGGCTGTTAAAAGAGGAGGAAGAGTCAAAGGCCACACGTTTTATGCTCCGAAGGACAGTGCAGCCTCTAGCAGAGAGACGTAAATAAGAGGTTCAGCTGGAAGTAGTAAGGGTCGATTGTAGATGCGAGACTAGAATTTGAGAGACAGGTGAAGGCTGAAAATAGCAGTGGGGAGTCCTCAGCACTAAGGATAATGAAGCTGTGGGAGGGGGAGCTAGCTGCAGAGAGGGTATGGGAAGAGCACAGGAATGAAGTGTAAGTCTGGGGAGCAGCCGTCAGCCCTGGGGTAAGTGGGAGGGAGGGAGACTGAAGCAGAGGACAAACATGGATGGGGAGGGGGTAACCAGCTCCACATAGTGTCTAAGAGGCCCAAGGAGAGGGTGGGTGAGAAGGCAGCTGTGTAATGAGACAGGGCTGGGAAACCTGGAGCCAGATGACCTCCATCGCTGCTGAGAAGGAGGAAGCAAAGGAACCTGTCGGTGGCTGGGGACACAGAAGGTTGGTGCTAGACATAGGTACCAAATGGCCAAGTTGTCCGGGCGTACCTGTAGATGGACTTCCTGCCCGGACAGGCACCGGTGAGAAAAGATGAACCGGACGAGTAACTCAGTTTCCCAGATTTATTCTTCCGTGTGTCCTCAAATAACACACCCAAAGCTCTGTATAAGTTCAGGGAATGGGGAAAGGTTGCCTTTGACTGATGGAATCCCAGGAATTTTCCTGCAGAAGGTGCTGTGACTGGCAGGTGGAGTTTATCATTAAGCCTTTAATCCACTTAGGGTGTATTTCCGTATTTGGTATGAAATGGGAGTCTGCTTATAGTTTCTTCCAAATAGATGGGCATTTATGTCAAAGCCATTTATTAAGTGATTCATCTTTTTCCAACTGAATGGATCTGTCCCCTTTAAGTTACTGCAGACCCTGGGAACTGTTCCTGGAGTCAGTTCTGTTCCACCCTCTCTTTACCTCTACCTGCCCCAAGATCCTGTTAATGTGGTTACAGCAGCTTTGTAGCATGCTCTGGCATCTGCCGGGGCAAGTCGGTTCACTTCTTTTCTTTTTCATGTGTTTTCTGGGTGAGACACCAGCACTTACTCTTCCAAATTATGAGATCATTTTTAAAATGTAAAGAAAAGCAAAAATCTTGTTTGAGCAATTTAATTGTAATTGTATTAGATTTAGATATTTTGGGATACATTGATACATCATTGATCCTAAATCTTTCCAATCAAGAATCTATTTCCATTTCCGTCTCATTTTATCTATATTAATAACATTTTACAGTTTTCATATAGGTTTATCCCTTTCTTGTTAAATATATCCCTAAATATTGTATAATTTGTTAATACAGTTTCCAGTTTCTAGATTTTAATTACTACAGTAGAGGAAAGCTCCTGGTTTTTGCATATGTATGTTCCTTCTGGCCATCTTTCCCTATTCTCTTACTGATCTCTAGTGGTTTTTTTCCCCCTAGATTCTTGGGTTTCCTCTGTATATAATCTTAGCAGCAGCAAAAAGGAAAGACTTTATCTCTTCTTTTCCAATGTTTATGCCACTTTCATTATTATTTTTCTCACCTTCTTTTCATTCGCTAAAACTTCCAACACAGTTGTAAAAAGAAATAAAAGAAATAGTGATGGTGAGTATCCTTGTATAGTTACTGATGTTGGTAGAAAGATTTCAGGTGTTTTGACATTTGGGATTAAATTTATTACTGATTTTTATAAATAGTCTTTGTTTTATATTTAAGTGCTTTCTTTCTATTCCTATTTTACTTAAAGTTTTTATTAGTATTAGCTGCAATATTTTGTCAAATGCCTTTTTAGCAGCTCTTACTATGTGATTTTTCTCCAGTTTTTGACATCATGAGTTAACACTTGTCCTGTGTGTGAACCCCCACAGCACTCCTGAAGAAAGTCCTGTTTAGGGTACTTTGATGCTTTGTTTGCCATTCTACATAAAATATTTGCATCTTATAAGTGATACTAGTTTATACTCTTATAATCTTTTTTTAAATCAAATTTCAGTATTGAGTGTAGAATAGTTAGAATACCAACTTTTTCTGTGGTATAGCATAGTTTGAGTAACATTGAAAATAACTGCTCTTTAAAGGTTACATGAAGTTTAACTGTGAAACCGTTTGGTTCTTGGACCTTTGTCAGTGGCAGATTTCTAAACAATTTTTAGTCATTTCCACAGCAATTGACCTATTGGAGTTTTCTACTTGTTTTCAATTCAGAATTAGCAATTTGTGTCTTGCTGGGAAGTCATGCGATCCTCTGGGTTTTTCTTTGTGTTTATTGGTTGATTAGTTGGTTGGTTGATTGACTGATTGATTGCCATAGAGTTACATGGAGTAACCTGTTCTCAATCTTCTAATCCATATGTAATTGTGGTCTTGTCTCTTTTCTTTCTTCTTTTTCTTAAGCTTAAGAAGGGTTTATATATTTTATTTTCTCTTTTTAAAGAACTAGTTTTTATATTCTGTCTACATTTTAAATTTCATTTGCATAGATACGAGCTTTTATCTTTATCACTTTCCAATTGTTGGTTTCCTTTGGTTTCTTTGTGGTTTGGGTTTATTTTGTGGGGGCTATTAATTTTTTAAGACGTGTAATAAGTTCCATAATTTTTTATCTTTCATGATGAAGACATGAAGCTACTTTCCTCCAAGTGTAGCTTCATTGAGTCCCATAAGTTTTGATGTAAATATTTTCTTTTTCAATACTCTTTAGATGGCTCTTAATTTCTTTTTAAATTCCTTCTTTGATGCAAAGAGTGTCTTTCTTATTTCTGAGTACATCAGTGGGATTTTAAAGCTGCATGTATGTATATATATGTACAATATTTTTTTATTAAAGACATAAAATAACCAATAGTCAGGGGCTCATGATCAGTGTGAAGCAGGGAAATTAGGTGCATTTGTTGTTGGCCTGTGAGGCCTTATCACAGTACAGTTGGTTTTTTTGGGGGGGCTCTTTGAAGAATTGTGACTGGCTGGGCTTCCTCTCACAGATCTTTGGGTAGAGAATCATTAAGTAGGCATTTAGATTTTTTTCTGACCTTTGCTAAAAAACACCTATACATCTCTTCTTTAAAGCTGTCATCTTTTCAACTTTCTAAAAAATTTCCAGAAAAATAATGGATTCTGAGTATGGTGTTAAGTTTGGAGATAGGATTTTTTTTTAGTTAAGTAAACCACAAAAGTTGTGCAGCTTACGGCAGGTGATTCGTGTTGAAAAAGTAATATGCTTTTACAGGCAATAATCTCTTTTTTGTGTGTTTTGAAGTCCAAAGTATAAAAAAAATGCTCAAATCTTTTTCCCTCACAGACGGAATATGCACGGTTTGAGAATGGCCGATTTGTATACCGAATAAACCGCTCCCCGATGTGTGAATATATGATCAACTTCATCCACAAGCTCAAACACTTACCAGAGAAATATATGATGAACAGTGTTTTGGAAAACTTCACAATTTTATTGGTAACTGGTCTCTTTCCTGTTTTGTCAGACTCAGCCGTGAGGCTGGTGGGGAGGGTAGGCCGGAGAGGCACTGAGGCCTGGGCCCGGGGGACTGACTGGACTGTTGGGTTAGGCTGCAGGGGTCAGCTGAAGTCACACACCCATGGGGCGAGCTTGGTTTGGCTCCAGGCTGTGGAAGAGAAGGGATCTCATCTGGCTGGGCTTGCTCAGCTTGGCAGAACTGGAATCAGGGAAGGGAGGATGGGGGTAATAAAACTTAGTTCTCAGCTCTGGTTGCACGTTAGAAAGACCTGGAGAACTTCTAAAACTCCTGATGCCAGAGTTGCAACCCAGATCAACTGAATCAGATCCCTAAGGATGGCGTCTGGGCAGGTGTATTTTCTACAGTTCCCTGGGCAGTTCCAGTGCTCGCTAGGTTTGAGTCTCAGCAGCACCGTGGTACACAAGTCTCATGTGAGGCACAAACTGAGTCAGCAGGTTTGTTCTTGAAACATACCTTGACTCATTTCATGAAGGATTTACAAGGCCTTATTATAAGTTACATACATTAATATAGCAAAATGTAAACTTCCAGGACCAGGAGAAATAGAAACCAGAATACAATAGCATAACTAGGAGTAGGGAGAGAATATCCATGGGCTGAAAAGTCTGGTCAAAACGTAATGGGCAAGGGGGAGGGTATAGCTCAAGTGGTAGAGCGCATCTTAGCATGCATGAGGTCCTGGGTTCAATCCCCACTACCTCTGTTAAAAAATAAATAAACCTAATTACCCCCCCAACTGCTAAAAAATAATAACATAATACAATAATAAAAATAAATAAAATATTTTTTAAGCAAAGGAAAACATAAAAAGAGTTTCCATTAATAAGCAAGCTAAGACTAGATATAAAACAGAAGCATAAAAGATACATAGTCTCAAAGAAAGTCTTAGCTATTTCTTAAAAACCAGTGAGTCTGTTTCAGCATATTAAGGAAGATGTTCTCAAACCCTAAAACCCTACGTTGCAGCACAACCAAGGGGAATACGACCTGGGAAAATTTTAGGTGTCTGTCTCCCACAAAACCCATGTAACTACATTGACTAATATGCTCGCTTGGAGCATGTGACTTCCATCCAAAGAACTTACCAGGTTAAATTGATTTTAAAACGTATCATTAAGCAACTATATAAATTCCTTTGATTTGAAGAATTAGTAGGTCTCAATAAATACCTGCAAGAAATAATTTTTTTTGTAGAAAAACTGAAATTAAGCCAGCAATCCTGGATAATAAAAATGAAGTCATTTCACTGATAAACAGTAGAAATAGTATTTTCAGCACTTCCTCAGGGGTGGGGTCTACGAACCTGAGCAGGATGATAGCTGCTGGACATAGTTGTAGGTGCTTTACCAGGTGCGCTGGATACAAAACTCGCGTCACCATGAGCGGCTCCAGGCCTTACTGGCTGGCGGGCTAGACTCTGGTTTCATCAGGATGATTCAGGAATTGAGGTGGCTTTGTAGGTTTGGGGCCTTAATCGTGGCAATCAAACTAAGGAAGACAGTACCTGCACTGTGGGCCAAGGATTCTGATCACCTTTTGATTCATATTCAGATAGACAGGTTGCTAGAGATTTTTTTTCCTCCTTTTGCATATCAAGCATGAAGCCTAAATAGAATATATTCTTTTATAGAAAGTTTGCAAAAAAGTGAGATTGCTCTTAGAGGTTCCAGGCACAGTGCTGAACCTTTCGTAGATATAATATGAAATTCTCACTGCGGAACTGTGAGGTCATTTTCCCTCCCATTTCATGGATAAGGAATTTTAGGCCTCCCTGAGGTCACAGAGCCAGTGATAGACATAACTTAAGATTTGAATTGATGGAAAAGAGACTTTGCAGGGTATTTCATGGTCATAGGATGAGAAGACATGGGTTTAGGACCCGGCTCTGCTTTATGATGTTGGAAAAGTCATTTAAAGTCTCCAGACCTCAGTTCCCCCTATTTACAAATGAAATACCCAGGTCTGCCCTCTGCATCTCAAAGATTATTGAGAATGCTTTCATTCATTCAGCTGAACTATGGAGAGATTGTATTAGCTGCTGGAATACAGTGCAGATAAAACACAGTGCCTGTCCTACAGGAAATCTGGGCCCGGCGGGGGGGGACAAGGCAGGTAAATAAACAATGACAATGCAGGGTCATCATGGCTGCAGTACCTGTGAGACAGACCTCATGGAGCACAGAGTCAATGAGCCACCCGAGCAAGCACTGGTAGTTGAAGTAAGGTGGGGAATTCTCAGGGATGTTAAAAGATGATGTTTAAGGTACCTTGACAGATAAGCAGGTATTTTTCAGATTTGCCAAGAAGAGGACCATTCGTTGGGTGCATACTTAGGTGTCAGGTGCAAGGCTGCGGTGAACTAGACAGGCGGGGCTGGCGTCCTGGAGTCTGGTGAGGGAGGTGGGCATTCAGCAAGTACAGATGATCACAAAATGAATGTAACTCAACTCTGGCCGCTGGCTGGTGGAAGTGGGAAGGTGGTGCCAACAGAGTGTGAATAGGAGGATGTGACCTAGTTCAGGAGGCTTCCCTGAGGACGAAACAATTGAGAGGTATCTGCCAGATGAACGGGCAGAGAGATAGCGAAGAATACTGCATGTAGGTGGGAATGCGGGCAGGTAGGGACTGTGGCCAGTGTGGGAAGAAAGAGGAGGGCCCGGAGCAGTGAGCTAGCCAGGTAGGAACAGCCAGACTGGTCACAGTCTCCTCCGCCTTGTAGGATGAGAACAGGTTTTCTCTTCATCCTAAAGATTTATAAATTTAAAAGGGGCCATTTGGTTTTTAAGCAATTTTTAAGAGTGTGTTGTCAGATTTATATTTCTTACAAGGTTCTTGTGGCTGCTGCATACAGCTGGAACTGGTGGCCTGCAAGGGTCGCTGCTAGTGGAGGATCTAGGTCAGGTTTGCTGGTAACTTGGGCTGTGGTGGTGGGAAGGTAGATGGATTCAGGAACTATTCAGGAGGGAAAGGCATCAAGACATGGCATTTTTTTGGATATGGCGTTGAGGGAGAGAGAGATTTCAAGGATGGAAAGGTTGGATACTTGGAGTATTGGATCTGGGAGGGAAGTGGCAGGGAGTGAGGCTAGAAAAGCAGGTGGGTACCAGTATTGAAAAAAATATTACCCAGGGGGGAAAAATAGATAATCCATCACTGTATCAATTCATTTGTCAAAGGGTCTTTGGATTCAGGTGAAAAAGGGAGTTTTTCCTTATCATTAGTATAACCTTAAACAAATTAACCCCCAGCTTCCTCCCCTGTCAAAAGGGGAGTAATATAGCACCTGCCCCTAGAGTTGTTATATTATATGAGATACTTTCTGTAAAGCATTTAATACCAAGTAGATGCATAGTAAACAGTCAGTAGCTGGTGGCTATTACTCTGTGAATTTATGTTCATTCAGCAGATACAGTGGACCGTTGAACAACACAGGTTTTAACTGCATGGGTCCACTTTTATGCAGAGTTTTTCCAATAGTAAATGCTACAGTCCTACACAGTATGCGGTTGGTTGAATCTGCAGGTGCAGAACTGCAGGTAGAATAGGGTGGGTGGCCACAAAAGGACTTGAGCAACTTTGGATTTTGGTATCTGCGGTGGGTCCTAGGACCAGTCCCCGTGGTTACCGAGGGAGGACTGTACTTATTAAATGACAGTTGTATGCCAACCACTAAGCTAGTTACTGGGAGGCGTGGTCCCTGTTCTTCAGGAACTTACAGTCCACTGGACAAGATGGGCATTAAAAAAAAAGAGAGAGAGATTCACACCAATCTATAGGTACTTGCGGACAGTGCAGTGTGCTGGGATGGGAAACTACAACTACAGGTACTGTGAGACTTTATCCCCTAGTCAGGCACCATAAACGTGGATGCCTGAGGGGTAAGGGAGGCTAAATGGGCAAAGCAGCCACACGGGGGGGCATGAGGCCATGACCACTGGGCTAGGCTCTCACATTCAAAATATGTGAAAGCACGGAGCTGGCTGATAACACACCAGTGGCAGAGGGTCACTGAAGCATTTGAGCAGAGAAGTTGGGTTAAACTTACCTTTAGAACGTTCCTTCTGAGAACAGCCTGTGGAACTGAGTCAGAGTGAGGAGCAGGGAGGCAGGGTCCAGTGGGGAGGGGGCTGCAGGGGTCTAGGCCAGTGAGCTCAAGATCTGAACACGGGCTGAGGCTGCAGACATGAGGAGGAGAGGGATGGATTCAAGCGACTGGACTCCAGGGGGGAGGCAGATGAGTATCTCATGATACATTTTGAAAGATAAAGCCTATGAAACTGAAAAGAGGTATTGTTTGGCATGATTCTAGAAGATCATGGTTGTTCTTTTACTCAGCATATGCTTCGCTGAGCCCAGGCACTGTTGTTAAATACAGCTGGTGAGCAAGACACTCAGGGAGCTTGTGTCTCCCATCGCTGTTAAGAGGCAAAATTTAGTAAAGTTTTAGGAATTAGACAGGAGATGGTTCCTAGGATAAATGACTGTCACATGGGACAGAGTTATAGAAAATTCTATGTTGTACAGAAATTCCATGCATCCCCCCCAAAAAAACCCCACACTAATTCTTGTGATGTCTTCTTGGGCTCAGATTATGAGTGAGACCCCATCTGCAAGGTCTTTCTTACATCTGGGAACTAGGCCTAGGTGGGATTTAAGTGGGGCCTGTAATATCCTGAGTTTGTGCTTGAGGGGCAGAGTGAGGCTGGACAGGTCTCTGATAACCCACTTTCTGGACGTGAGACTTTGTATTCCTCTGCAAGTAAGTCATAGTCCTCATGGCACAGATGGAATATGCTTTCTTTCACGTGGTGTTTGATCCGGATGTACTTACGTATATGTATTTTTGTTTTTTTTTCTAACAGGTGGTAACAAACAGGGATACACAAGAAACTCTCCTGTGCATGGCCTGTGTTTTTGAAGTTTCAAATAGTGAACATGGAGCACAGCATCATATTTACAGGCTTGTAAAGGACTAACCATGGTTATTTATATATATAGATATCTGTATATACACACACACACGTGCGCGCACACACTCTCTCCATGTTCGAACGACTGACTGTAAACCTCACCACACAGGGGTGCTGCCCTGGCCCTGAGGTCACCCCGACTTTTCTAAATCCTGTTTGAGTGAAGTCATTTTTTCATGTGTTCATACTATCATTGTAGCTGTGAAGTTCTGGTACAGTTGTAAAAAGAGAAATCGAGTTGTTTCTGTGTGTTCTTCAGATCCACAGCCCACAGTTCCTCGGGAAGGTGAACCTTAAGAACCCACATCTCTGTCTGCAGAGACCTGTTTCTCATTGCAGTAGAAAAAAAAAATTGAGACAGAGCATTTACCATTGGACATTTACAGCCTTTATACAAATATATTTAGTTGGTTTTTTTTTCAACATAAAATTCTTGTTTTAAGATACAAGTAAAATTAATCTTTAAATATAAATGTAAATTAGTACACAAAACTAAGAATCTTTAGACTTATCTTTGTAACTAATTAGGGTGGAAGTTATGAAAGAATGTAATTCACTAAATTATTTTTTAAATGAAACTTTTCTTTCTTTTTGAAACCAAATGTTAAAATATAGCCTTAAGAAATGCTTGGTAGAAATATCCTAATGAGACAAATTTGTACTTTTTTCCTCAAGGTTAAAACTAATCTCCTAATCCATTAAACTCTTGAAACAGGTATTACAGAGGAAGAAAACTTCACCCCTTATCCTTAACATATATAGTATATTTAAAAAATATAAAATTGTATTGTACTAATGTGATGATTATTTAATGAAAAAGAAAAGATGGCTCTTTTTGCAATAAGTAGATAAATACTGAAAATCTAAACTTACAATGTTTATAGTCTTGTGTGTGCAGTTATATTTTATATGGACAACCAAAATTTTTTTATTAAGACTAGTAAATCTTTGAACCACTAAAATTTAATAACAAAAATTTTAAATTGGCATGAATACTGCACTGTGAGCTGCAAATTATAGAAAACCCTGTGGCTGGGAGAAATTTCATTAACCAAACTTGTAAAAGGCTCATCAGTTTTAGGATCTCTGCTCCCCAGAAAATCGCAAGCATCCTTACCAGCCTGTGGATAAATTATTTCTGGTGATCCAGTGTGCATATTACCCTGCTATAACTATATGTGTATGTGTGTGTTTGTGTATACATATGTACACATATACGCATATAATTATTCAACACGTATTTATTAAACATCTATTCAGTGTCACCCAGTTTGCTAGGTGCTGATATGTGTGTATTTTTCAGTCTGTGTCCGTAAATCTAGATGTATTCTCTAAGAACACCCATTTGTTTACTTGGCATCTCTCAATAAGTCATATCACTTGTTTGACTGAGGTTGGAGAGACTCTATCTCTGCCCTTTTCAACTAGGCTCATTTGGGAGGTTCTCTTCCCAGGAGAGATTCAACTTTCCAACCCAAATATTCCAAAGCATTGTCCAGGCAGAGCTGGTTTGACGTGGCCACATGTCTTGGGGTTCTTCCCATAAGTGCTTCATTGGGAAGGGGACAGGACATACCTTCCAACTTTTCAGAGGGAAGTGACATTTTTATAATTGTCAGGAATATGTTAACTTATATTATGTTAAGTTGTGAAACACGTCAAGACTTTTACATCAAGCCAGAAAATAGAAACTTTGTTCTGTCACATCCAAGTAATGTGCACACCCTCTTCCCTGTCCCACCACCTGCTCTGACCCTGCTTACATATTGGTTAGTGTCTGGTGGTCATGAGCACGAGGGTGTGGCTGGCTCATGGCAAACAGAAGAACATTGGACCAAGCCTGACCTCTCCCAAACTCATGACACTGGTCCCTGAGAAGACCAGAGGAGAAAGCGCAGAACTTTCCCCTTTTGGAGTGCGCATCTCTTCCATAAGCCAGTAGGATGGTGTGCATCTTCCTTACATAAAGAGACCACAGTTTGTTCCCTGCTGTCAAGTGGGCCTTTGGCGAATTGCCCCAGTTGTGCACCCTTCCATCTGGTCTTCAGCCCAGGCATTAAGCTTCTTCCATGATCATCATATTTACAGTATGTTTCTTTTAGTATGTTTAGTTCTCTTAGTATGTTTCTTTTGCTCCCATCTCCTGCATCTTTACTCAAGGGAACCCCTGCTCTCTCAGGACCAAGGGGTTCAAATGATCTTACGTGGCTAAAAGCTAGGCTGTCCCGGGGCTTTAGGGGAAGAGGTATCTGGCTCACGTTCCCGCCCAGGAACGGGGGGCTCTTCTGCGCTGCCATAGGGCTCTTGGGATTTACTTTTTTCAAAGCACAAATAGACTGAGACCCATGCGCAGCAGCTAGAAGGCAGTTCTGTTGGCTGCAGAGAAAGTCACACTCTGGTCTGCTGAATTCGCAGAGACAGGCTGGGCCTTCAGATGCTTGTCCTCTTCCTCCGAATGCCTTTGTAGTTGAGTTTGGGGGTTTACCTGGATGACCTTGAGCATTGCTGTTTGCTCTTAGAACAGGTTTACCTCTTGTCTTGTTCTTCTAAAGTTCTCTCCAGGGCAGATGTTTTCCCTGTCTCAACCCTGGTCTAGGTACCCAAATTCTTGACCTTTCTCCATCTCTCCCAAATTAGAGCCTGCAATGAGATTTGTGTTACAACATCTAAATCCATGTCTGTCTTTGTTCTTTCACCATTTATGGCAGAGTCTTCTCCTTTTGTCTGTACAGCTTTTAAAACCATAAAGAAACGTTTCCAAAGCTCTGTTCTTACTGCTCTCTTCTGGGTGCTCTATCTCCTGGTGACCCTCCACCACCAGGATTGATTCAGGGACATCTTGTGCTTTCACTGTAGAGTTGAGAGGCCAGTTTCCACAGCCTAAATAGGGAGAAGCTGAAGAACTGGGCTTCAGCCTCTTGGCATTCATTTCCATCTTAGCAAGAGACCTGAATGAAATCGGGACTTCTTCAGAGCAAGTCCTAGAATCCCAGACCATCTAAGCTACCCAAGACCAGGGTTTCTCAACCCTGACACTGTTGACGTTTGGACCAGATAGTTCTTTGTGGTGCGGGGCTGTCCTGTGCACTGTAGGAGGTTTAGCAGCATCCCTGGCCTCTGCCTGCTAGATAACACCCTTTCCCCAGTTGTCACAACCCAGAATGTCTCCGGACAATGCCAAATGTCCCGCAGGGCACAGATCACCCTTGGTTGAGAACCACTGCCCTACATCTGACAGGTCACAAATACTGTATTTGAGATTTTCTTTTTCTTTCCATCTTACCCTGAGAAAGCTTCTCTCCTGGGCCATCAAGAGATAGGTAGGAATATTACTCACATGACATTGTGCCCATGTTTCTTCCTGTTTCAGAACTTCTGTTTCACGACAGTCTCTCTATTCTTTTCCCCATCCCCAGGGGGATCGGGAACAGGGGCTGACCATCATCCCTGTGACCATCTCGCACCTCTTTAAAGGGTAGTTTTCATTTGCTCTTCATTCCTTATTTTTCCAGGTTTAAAAAAAAAAATCCCACCTATTGTCATTAGTTCTCATAAGCTTATGGTTCTCATCATCAAGCCCTTAATCATTTCAGTAAATTTTCTCTGATCTTCTACTTCCGGCCTTAACACTAAATGCTGTTTGTAGAATTTACTGAAACCTCTGGAATATTTCTTTTCATCTTTAGGGATGGAGGAGAGGTTTTGGGAGAGGACTAATAGAATTTTTTCTCCAAGGAGCTATGAGAGGGCACAGTCCACAGGCATACCTCGGAGGTAGCACGGGCACTGTCCCAGACCGCCACAGCAGAGCAGATACCGCAGCGAAGCCAGTCACGGGAATTATTTGGTTTCCCGGTGCATATAGAAGTTATGTTTACGGGGGAGGGTATAGCTCAGTGGTAGAGCGCGTGCTAAGCATGCACGAGGTCCTGGGTTCAATCCCCAGTGCCTCCATTAACTAATAAATAAATAAATGAATGAAAAATAAATAAATAAATAAAACTGATTACTCCTCCCCCCAAAAAAGTATGTTTACACTATGTTGTAGTCTGTTAAGTGTGCAATAGTATTATGTCTTAAAATCAATGACATACCTTAATTTTAAAACACTTTATGGCTAAAAAATGCCAAAACAATTACAATAGTAACATAAAGATCACAGATCACCAAAAAAAATGTAAAAATAATGAAGAAGTCGAAATATTGCAAGAATTATCAAAGTGTGATACAGAGACATGAAGTGAGCAACTGCCAGCAGAGGAGTAACACCAACAGACTTGTTTAACAAAAGGTTGCCGGAAGCTTTTGATTGGTAAATAACGCAATATCTGCCAAGCGCAATAAACGAGGTATGCCTGTACCCTCCTTCGCTGGGTCGATGAGAAAGTTGAAGCCCAGAGAGGAGATGACTTGCCCAGAGTCACCAGCTAGTGACAGAGTAAAAGCGAGGCTCTAGGACTCCTGCCACTTAATCCTTGGCCTCTTCTGCTGGGGTCGTTCCTCTTTGGTGCTCGTGCCGAGATGATCCCCGCGAGTGTGTCGACAGGGTCGGTGCAGAAGAGAGAGGGGGACTCAGGCCCCCTTCCTCTGCCGGAGCAGCAGCACTGCCGGCTGTCGGTGCTGCTTCTCGCACCGCGGTGTCTCGTCTGAGAGGCATCCACGAGCAGACTGGAAAGCTGATGAGCCTTTTCCTGACCCTGAGGACAGCTCACCTGCCACAGGCTCTGAGTCAGGTTCCTCTTTGCAGAAGCATCCCAGCAGCAAAAGCCCCACACTCGGACCAGCCAAAAAACAGCCCCCGTTCCCAGCACTTGGTGTTACAAACCCAAGTCTTCTCCAGGTCTCAATACTGTAGTGGCTTTTGCAGTTTGTTTTTGTACAAACGTAAATTATTTAAGTCACGCAAGATGACAGTCAATTTTTCAAACCAGGTACATAGAATCCGTATGATTTTGTCTGTGCTCTGGTACACTACACCTGTCCTAACGAAGGGTAGAGCCAATTTTGTGTGTTGGTGTCCACACCTGTGACGTTAAGAGGATACATCTGCATTGCTTATTTCTTTCTGTTGATGTTTCTGTGGCAAAGCCCTGCACATGTCATTTTTGAAAAGCCTTAAATCTCTGCGATGTCGCGTGTAGGGTTTGCAGTGCAGAAGGCTGCCTCGGAACTGTGAGCCCTTTTGTAAGCTGGAAGCATTTCTATTACTACTGTTACTTTTTTAGGAAGTTTTAAATTCAGAGCTGCCAAAGCGTTCCAGTAAGCAGTGCCTTAGTGATACCTTAGTCGTGCCGCCAGCCTTTTCTTACACCAGATCTCAGCATCCCTTCACTGATTGGCCCGGTATTTTAAAACAGAGCAAGCAAGCGTTGTTTTCATTTTTGTTTTGTAAGCCCATTTTTCTCCAGTCCTCTTGAAGACTGACTCCTTGGTCTAAATCTGAAATGAGCAGGAGTCAGTTCATTGACCACACTGTCCAATGTCTATACCAAAACGGAAGATTTTGCAACTTCGTAGTTTACTATGAGAAGCAAATTGTACACTTTTGATGTTGCCTTTTAAATTCACGACCAAATACTTAGCTATTTGTGAATCTTCTGCAGTCTAGCATGAAAGTGCCTTTGGTTTGAGATTCCAGCTTAGAAAAGTGCTGCCGTAACCACGATAATTTGTAGAGAGACCAAAAATCTTTCGAGATCACCGTAATGCCTTTGGTGTACCGGGGTGAGTCACTCACCTACCACAGGCCTCTGTTCACATGAGCCCGACGCGGACCCTGCCTGCTGTGAGTC